GATCAGATAACCTTGTGGTTTCTTTGCTGTCTCGTCGGTCGTCGAAGGGTGAGGCTGCTAAAGCAAATGCAAGGAACGTCGCAAAGGTAGTGAATTGATGTTCGCGAGATTGGCCGGGCAAATTCACTGAGACTAGGAGAGGAATGAAGCTTGAGCCGCTTAAGCCTAATAGTTGTTACTGTGGCGGGTGGGCTGTGGCGGTGCCATTCGCCAATCCCGTCTTCCGGTAGGTATCACCAAAGGCGGCCGTCCGTATCAGCAAAAGAGAGCTTATAAACTCCGATAAATCAGGCCGATTCAACTTTCGGTTGAATATTACCTCTCTTTTTCTTTCTTAACAATCGAAATTCTTTTTTCTTCTAGCAGGCATGGAGAGAGGAAGTAAGTCAGGCGGTAGTTGACCGTCATGCTCATATAGATGTTCCGCAGGCCCCTACTAAGACGATAATAGCTACTGCCAGTAGGATTAACAGCACACCAAGCTATTAGAGATTAGTACCTAGAAGAGGTAGAGACAAATGCCCTAACCGTGCTGGCGGCTACAGAATCCATAGTCATCTCAGTGTCGTCGCTCCACCATGTCCTCACGTATCATATGCGCGCCTTTTTCCGCAATGGCGTACACAGTCGCCTGCAAGTGCGCGCTGATCTGCAGCGGCATAACGCTCGCATCAATCACCCTCAGCCTCTCTATACCATATACCCTCAATCTATCATCTACAACGCCTGCCTCTATCCCATCTATACCGCCCATTGCACAGGTGCCAATGGGATGCCAATCCGTTGTCGTGTTGTCAACTACCCAGCGCCTCAGCTGTTCATCCGTCTCTATGGAAGTCGGAGGGTATACTCTGCCACGCACGACATCCGCCAACGGTTTGAAGCGGCAGAGTCTATCAGTGAACCGAATGCATTGAGTCATAATTTCAAGATCTACTTTGCCATGCGGTCCGGAGTAGTATCCAGGGTTAATCACCGGCTTATCTGAGATGAAGGATCTAGCTGAAGTGTTTGACGACGGTGGAATGTGTAGGCTGCCCACCGAAAACGGATACTGCAAGATCTGTAACATGCTAGCATATGTTTTGCCTTCAGAGGGATCTGGCTGAAATTGGACGTTCCAGTTTCCCATGTCGAAAATATATTCGAATTGGCCGAGCCTAGCGTCCTGGTCGAACCTACTCTTGAGGATAATGCCCTTTTTCGGCGGCAGTGTCCCGAGTGACCGGACATGGTTCACTATCTGATCAAACCCATCTTGTGCTGCAGCATCTGATACGGGGAGATAGCAAATGGAACCAGCCGGGGCACTCTTGTTGGCCGCCGTGAGAGACGGGTCGACCTCAAAGACAGAGATGGTCACTATGGTTGGTCAGCATGCCACTCTTCAAGAGTGTTCGCGAAATCTCACTCAGGTGGTCCTGCAGATTCTCGCCGACATTAGTATTAGGTACTTTCACCTCAACGCCCGCGTTAGCAAGGATCGTGGGATTGCCCACACCAGAGAGCTCTAAGAGTTGGGGCGACTGGACGCTGCCTGCGCTCAATATGACTTCCCTCGACGCTGATACAACGAATTCTTGGTCGGCATGTATGAAACGAACACCCGTAGCCGTCCATCTGTCGTTACTTTTGCTCGACAATACTTCCTTGACGAATGCTTCCGTCAGCACGACTAAATTTGGTCGTGCAGCGCATGGTACGTAATACGCAGGAGCAGCGTATGACCGCCTGCCATTTTTAGGTTCCACGGTGACGGGATTCGTCCATACGCCCACATTCGATCCAGAATGGTGGGCGATGTTCTCATGGATACCCATTGACAGCAAGCTGTCATAGCATAACTGATGACTCGCCGAATACTGTTTAGAGTACGAGACGCTGATTGGTCCGTCGGTTCCAATAGCCCGATGGTCATAGTGTTCTCGATTGGCCATCTGTGTGTGCTCGTTGGGCAAATGGAATGTCTCACATTTCTTGAAGAAGGGTCTAAAGAGACAAGTTCAGTATTATTTTTAGGAATTAAGTGTACTGCCCGGCGCAAACGTCTCGCTTCAACTTACAGGAGGTCGTCCCAACCCCATCCCCGGTTCCCAAGCTTCTCCCATGCATCGTAGTCCTCCTTGCACCCTCGACTCCATGTCATCAGATTCAGCGCACTTGACCCCCCGAGCACCTTTCCCCTCGGCCACGCAACCTTCCTGCCGCCCAATCCAGGCTGCGAAACAGTCTCGAATTGCCAGTCGTAATTCGTTCCTAGCGTCTGAAGAAATCGACCCGGGTCATTGATCGCATCTTCATCTAGGGCTGTGGGACCGGCTTCAAGCACACCAATCCTTAAGTTGACGTCCTCAGAAAGCCGAGCGGCGACCACCAAGCCAGCTGTTCCGCCGCCGACGATTAAATAGTCAAAGTCGCCGGCCGCGAACTCGGCTGCAGTGACGGAGACGGGAGTCATCTTCTTGCTATGCTATCAGCCAAATAGCTCCGAAGCTGTGATGCAAATGATATCGCGTTTTGATTTGATGAATGAATATTGTGCTTTACCGTTGCACCGAGCTGAAAGGCTCAAATTGTTGTACAGGATAGTTGTCACTTAAAGGGTGGCTTACAGACTGCTGCTGCAAGACTGCGGGGCTCAAGCTCTTATTATAGATCCAAAACCCCAACTTCTTAGGTATCTCTTTTTCGTGCTGTTACACTGATTCTAACCCACCTTTTGGTTGAATTGGCTAATATGTCACAGTCCATGTGAGGTATACACTTAAAACCGTAGACTGAATATTGGTGCCTCCCCCTATCACTCCCTGGCATGTTTTTAATATGCGCTTACAACTAGCAGCCTGCGCAACGTGGATCTCCTGGAGTTTATTCACACCACCCTCCAAGGGCGCCAAGAGAACCGGCACTGGGAACTGAACTGAGGTATTGCAAGATCTTCAAACCGAGAGTGAATGGCCTCATGAAATATAACAAATAGACGCATTAAATATCGGGACAGTTGGCGGGGAGACTATGAAAGGAGACAATCTACAAGATAGCATGTTATCGAGATACAAGCCTGGAAGCAAACAGAATACGCATCATCGATATCTTTCACAAGGACTCAGTACTTAAGACTTAATAAGCCCAAATTCGTGCCCACATACGCTGAAATACTTGCTAGGCTAACACTTCAATACGCATGACCTTATTTCTTTAGGGAAGTCAGGCTCGACCAAGTTAGATCTGGCATAACCAAGACTTCTCCGCTCTTAAACTGTCCTAACACTATTATCACTACTGCTGCCGATTGGCTAGGTTTCTTCAGCCTCGATGTTAATAGGCACCGTGGGCGACACCTTCGTGAGCGGTTATGAAGTCGTACCAATTTGCTTATGTTTAAGGCTATTAGTCGCTTTTATATATGACCGTTTCACAAGCCTTGGTTTCTCACCAGTTACCAAGGCATAGATATACTGATGGACAATTTGGAGTGGCACCTTGATGCAGCTCCTACGCTCTCCGAACAGTTTGAGGTCTCATATACACTTTTGGACGCTGAAGATAGTAGCGACGCGGCAAGCAAGCTAAAAGTCTTGAATCACCTCTGATGATAGATAGACTTGGCACTGAAAGCTAAAGAGTCTGCCATTTATATTCGTTCCGACTATTAGTATCTGCAGTACTTTGTCCCCGAGACAGTATGGGTTACTTAAATAAAATACAAAATAAACAACTTTACATTACAAAGATTCAATGACCGAATAAGATCTTGTTTATGTTCAGATTCCATATTTTAAAGTATCTGATCTAAATTTTAAAGAAATCGTGAAATTGGTGACAAACATGTGTTAACTATTTCAATCTCCAGTTCTCCGGCACTCCATTTAGTTTATTGCGAATGATGTAGCATAAAATGAGCATTTATAAGTACGGCCCCAAGAAAATATATCTGTCCAGCATTAGATCTTAGGGGGCAAGTCTCCTAGTCAAATGATACAGAACTTATTCCATCACACAGACACACGAATGATACTATAGTAGAAGAAATTGCTGCCATTATAATGCCAAACTCGGAAGAGGCATATTCATCCTTGCAGCAGACTGAACCTTTCTGCCGCGTGAGCGCAACTGTGTTCCATTTTAACACGGAAAGGCCAGTCTCTATGAGGCACTTAGTAAGTCACGAGAAGTCATTGTCATCAGAACGAGGCGTAGACGATTGGTCTAGAATCTATGATGCAGACAGTATACCCAATCTGGGCTAATTATGCAGAACTATAGAGATGTGATCGCTGCTTATCGTTACTATCAATAATCCAGTCATCAAGCAACCACCAGCGATTCTTCATTGATCGAAAGCTACGTAATAACGTACCCACTGTCCCTATATTTACCATTGCCGTTACTAACATAAACTCAATAAAATTTCATTGTACATACAGTCAAGTTAAAATCCAGGGTTGATTGATTAATTGATTGTGTTTGATGTCAAGAGGGGCCACCAGAGCTCCCAAGGGATATAAGACGTGATCAGGCTATATATACTATATACACCTGTATCTACCAATTCGAAACTGAAAGGCTAGCTACATATATATCTCATGACCACTCCTTCTAAGTCATCGGGACTTTGTTTCTTATACGCTATACTAAAGTAGGCCGGGTGTTCGGACGCCAATAAGCGTATTATTATAGAGCTCATCATAACGCGATCGTTCGTATTACTGAGCACTAGTATATGTACGTGGTTTATCAAACACTTAGTGGTATTTACGCAATTTTTTTATCGGTTATCGCGAAGTTAAGCGGAGGTATTTCGTTCAAGTCGGAATGCGAAGACCGGGCGTAATTCCTTTTTATTTTATTATTTTATTTTTTTATTTTTTATCTTTAAAAATTTTTTTTTATAGTTCGTCGCCCACTATGCTAACTTAGGTGATTTCTTGGGCTTAGTTCTGTTCTGGTGAGGCAGTTTAACTAACCATTTGCCTAGGTGGCAAAAAGAGATATATGTTTGCCTCCATCCCGGATCGAACGAGAGACCTTCGCATGATCTTGTAAATGCTTACAAGTGCGACGCGCTACCACTACGCCATAGAGGCTGTTAAATACGACACCTCTGGGATTCGAACCCAGGCCTCCGAGGAGACGGGCTTAGCAGGCCCGCGCGTTAACCACTCCGCCAAAGTGCCGTTGCTGCAGGACGCCAAGCTCCACGTTGAAATCTAGGAGCGACTCTAGATGCCTAATATCGTAGCTCCTGTTTTGATATGATCCGCGGCGCTAATTATCAGTAGCAAGCGGAGCATTTGCACGACATAAAAGTGGTATGATGCACGTCTGGAGACTCCGATTATTCGGCGGGATCAGTAGTCTCGGATGACCTACCTGGTCCCCCAGTCGGATGATCGTCAGTCCCCCTTTGGAAGCGGGGTTGAGCTGTCCCAGCGGAGCACGCATTCTGGAATACCGTTACGTATCTCGGCACTCATTACAAATGACCCACGATTCAATGGCATTAGCTGGTCTGACGTGTTCCGGATATCTGTGTTCGCTACAAACTCGGACTTTGCGGAACATCAGCGGATATCAATTGCCTATTCTGGCCGTGTCATTCGGCCGCATGCAGTCTAATCAAATCGAAACGCAGTTAACACACTAGCTATCGCCTTCAAAACCTCGCGCCTAAAGATCTAGATATCTACGTTCTACCGATGCCATTCTCGATACGAAGTGTAGAGATAGTCATCCCTGGTTTCTAATAGCTAGCTATTATATTGCGTGTTTGTGTATCTCTCCAGTAGCTCCGCCTCTTGGCTGGATCTCTTACATGACGAGTTAGTCTGTACTATAGGGTGGCATCGCAACGTCACGAGCTCCATTCGCATGAGCGAACGTGGTCCAAGGACTAGTAAGTCTCTGCAGAGGCGATGCGAGATCCTACGCAGTGGGGTCTCCAGGGGTTCTGCATATATATATAAGAAACTCGTTCGACCCCGCTACACGTCGTCTATAACTTCAGCGTATCTTCGTAGTTATTGGAATAGATGACTCAAAGCTGCAGCAAAAATGGCAAAGGATTCAGTCTACATACTAAATGACCCTACCAAAGATGGCGCCCAAAAAGAGCGTGCTCGCCTCGATTTTCAACATCATTACATCAGTGATACGATGCAAAATGAGCGTGAGTAATATCAAGAGTAGTCTCCTTTCTGTTCGGGTAACTTGCTGGAACAGAAACCTCCTGTTCGGGGTGGTTTCTTAGCTCACGAGCTATGCACGCTCCCAAGTCCCGCACAAACTCCATCCAGAAGAGTTACTACTAACTCTCCTGATGCAGTGCTACCATCACACATAATGAATGAGCTGACAGCGAACCCCTCGCCACGCGTATGCGATATGGCCACAGGTTCGGCAATATGGCTGAGAGAGCTTGCCAAGGCCTTGCCCACGTCGGCCGAATTAGTCGGGCTCGATTTTGACAGCTCTAAGTTTCCAGACGCGGAAGAGCTCCTTCCAAATATTAAGCTCGGCTTTGCGGACATATTCGAGCCATTTCCGGAAGAACTCCGGAACAGATTCGATGTAGTACACGTACGCTTCCTTGTGTTCGTCTTGAAGAAGGGCCAAGGTGTTGCTCTTGTTCAGAACCTACTCTCACTCCTTCGCCCTGGCGGCTGGCTTGTCTGGGTGGAACTTTCTGCTACTCTAGCTAGCACCGAGCCACCTAGCGAGGCCTTTTTTCAGTTTCAGAAAATACACTACGATTTTGCGACGAGGGTAGGCTTAGACTTAGAGTAAGTGAGCTGACCCATACTGGTGTTCCCGCAAACTGAAGTATAGCGTTGACGCCTGAGCAGCCTTCCTTTGGTAATAAGCAGCTACCTGAGGGAGGCCGGTCTGGTGGACTGTGATGATAGGAGCTATAATTGCAATTCGCAGTTATACGGACCTAAAAAACCAGACTGGCTCTCCAGAGGACATCATGAAATGTACGAGTCTGTAAGACAGATTCTAAAAGGCATACTCATTAAGGGAGGTGCCGACGGTATGAAGACGGAGCAGGAACTGGAAGAGCTGCTGGCCCGGCTGAAGAAAGAGATCAGCGGGACAAGGAAGTTACATTTATCAACAGTCCGGGCTTGGGGACGGAAGCGTTCCTGAAACTACATCGATACAGTGTATACAAGGGCGAGTGGCCCTGAGGTGTGATACAAGGGCCCAAGAGAAGCTTATATAAGCTTTCCGCGTAGCCAGGCATTAATACTAGTAGATATCAACTATCTTGATGGCGCGAGAAGCCATAGTGCCATGGCCTAGTATACCCTCAGGCAGGCGTCGCTCTAAGCTAGTATAAAGTCGATTATGAGTCAGCAGCAACGAAACACCTGTAACTTTTGCATGCGCACGTCATCAAGATGAAGAATTATGAGGGCTTGTATGAGCAGAGCTAGTGTCCCGTACATGTAACATAACAAAGCACTTGTGACGGCTGGTGTCCTATTTGCAGCTGTCAAACAGATTGACCAGCCGTCAGGCTGTTGTTCATTGTCCTGGTGAATGGTGGGACAATTACCTGGTGGATGGAATACCTAAGGTATCCATGTACCCCACTAATCCCTGCCTATATATTTCTGTACTGCAGCTGTTAGATAGGTACTTTCCTTTCTTCCTCATCTTAGTTATTTCGTAAGGAATATACGGTAAATTTGGTCTCAGAACCAACTGCTGACTTCCGGGCCGTGACAGCACTGCTCCTCTGTCGTTCGGGACAATACAGCATCAAACAGGCTCCTTGAATACCAATAGACCTAGAGCTGGGGGCCCCTAACGGAATTAGCCCCCTAACGGAATTTGTGCCTTAATTGCTCTGGAAATTTGTAAAATAAGTTTATCCAATTTGCTATATATATTTGCTAACAAAATTTTCCTGCATATTTTTCCTAATTATCTATAGCTTTTGGAAGATGTTGACTTTTTTGGTTTGCACCAGGATTAAAAGCGAATTATGTTAGGGCGCTAATTCCGTTAAGGGGCCCCCGGCTCTAGTTCGTATCCCTACACGGAAACTACACTGCATCCTCTGAGTCGGGCAACTTGCAGCAAGTATCGTCCGGTTGACGATGAACTAATCACACTGAAGATTGAAGTGTACATAATTAGGACCCACGGTGCACACGGGCCGTAGATAAATAACAGGAAGTTGGGTGGGAAAGACGGCACCGAACAGGAGCGCGGGGAAAAGTGGATATGGTGTGAAGGTGATAGGCGCTGGAGTCCAGGGTCTAGTGATGACCTGTGGTGTAAGGGGAGCCGATAACGATCCAGACGTTCTGATAATCACGTGACAAACCGAGAATGGTAGTTCAAGCATTCTCGTTCGTCGACTGATTGGCTTTTCGAATTGAATGTGGATCAACACTCACCTGCCGCAACCCGTGCTAATATTATCTGAACAGCCCAGCCAGCCAGCCAGCCAGTCAGCCAGCCAGTCAGCTAAGACGCTCTCCCCGTCATTTCTCTCCCAACTACTCCGGAACGCCGTACCAGAGAACAAACCCTGAACAACACTCCATAGGATTTCATATGATCGTATCTATTTATACTAAAGTGACTATACTAATTTATCCTTAAACATCCCATTACTGCGACATACACAGTGACAGCACCAAGCCGAAAGGCGAATTGGCTATAAATATGACAGTAAGCATGAATAATAAGCAATTCCTCAACCTTGAGGTTAACTGAACAGGTAAAAATCTTAGTATATTCGTAATTATTGCCTGAATCTTGCTTCTCAGCATGGGAGGGCTTGGCAAGCTCATGCAAATCGACTGCTGATATGGGTGAAAATCATCTACAATGAAGTTCACGCGCAAATAATTGCGCTGCCCAATTACTAGCAACCGATATTCAAAGTGAACGGTGAATGACTAGAATGTGAGTAGCGAACAATATATCGAAAGACAAACTAACGACAGAAGCGAGAGCCGTGCCCTTTGATACGGCGCTGCTAGCTATAATAGGAAGTAGAGAGGGAAATTTTTCAGATGCGTAAAGGTAGATCGTAGATTGTGCATCGGGGTGGAACATGATTCGCAGCATTCAGCGCGAAGTTCATGCGAGAATAACGTCCACAACCAATAGGGGTACCCGATGCAAGTAACCAACAAGCTGACCAGTGCGACAGAATGAATCGATGAAATACGTTGGCACAAGTCCAAGGACTCGACAAGACTCACAGTGAGTTGCCCTTGAGCGCAGAGCTGCTAGCAGATAGGGCTAGGCAATGTTTGCTCTCTGTGCACCCAGATGACTTCCGACTAGTAGGCGCCGGTAACACCTGAGTTGCACCAGCTGAATATTTGAGGATTGGGCCTCTCCAAGACCAACAACTGGTTAGGGAAAATATATAATAGGCGATAACGCACTACTAGGTGCCGATCTGGGGGTGGTGTGGCAAGTGGGAAGTAGTTGCATGCAGGGTGTAAGTCGCAGGAGCTGTCATCTGATTGGCTGGTGAGGGGTAGTCGAAGAAGTGTGTGGGCAGACCGATACCCTGCCTCACCTCTTACCTATAAAACCCCATCATCCTCCTCAGCTCATATTCCCACCTCCTCCCCTCTTTCATTATAGTGTCCAGGTTTCATCAAGGAATCATCAAAAACGCACTGGAAAACCCTAATTCCATCAACGTCCATCAAAGAAAACATAAGGAAGACTCGTATGCACCTTATAAGCCTCATATGGCTAGCACAAGGCGTGAGTCAGCTTGACACGTATTATACTCGTGTGAGCAATGACTGATTGTTCAGCAGATAGTCAAGGCGCCATGCGAGAAGTCCTTCGCTCACGATATGAAGATCAGGACTTTATCGTGAGTCGTGCTCAAAGAACGCCGGCCGATATCTCGGACCTTAGGTCTTTAGGTAAGGTCTAACCCTTATACGTGCATACAGCACCTGGTTTCTCTGTGGCCTGATAGCTTGTAGATGTCAATATTTCAATGCGTCATCCTTCAGTGCATCGTGAGAAGAAATACAAACCATCACAGGGTTTCAGTTACCCGTCCTCTCGGGAGCAAGTAGAAAGCATCTCGGAGCGGGCCGGATTCCCGACCTCGCAAAGAGCTCACGAGAAAACAGTGAGATTCGATGATGAATATTCACTGGATGGCAGGCCATTAGAAGGG